AGAGAGGAAGAGGGAGAGAGGAAGATCCTGGTTAGGGTTAGGGAGTAGGCGTAGGCGACTCCCTAGACTCGTTAGTGGAGTAGGCGAGGTACGGTCCGGCATATTAGATAGTACCAGGGTATGTTCCGGCAACTGGTACCCAGGGAGACATAGACCCTGGCAGCGTTACTATGTGAAAATGATGTTGTGATTTGTTCCAGATCTATTCAGTATTGTAATCATCATTCTAAGAGTCATTATTCAACTTTTATAGATTTCAAAAAGTTAAAACTGAACAGCAACTCCTGATTCCAACATCTTATTTATTCAGATAATTCTCACCTCACCCTTAGTTTTCCCCTTCTTTGTTCACCCTTCATATTTTATGTTCTTACAATAAACTGTACATGCGTGTGACATTTCATGTCATTATTATACCATGACCCCTTCATAGATATGTTACAACCAAACAGCATATATACGGCATACCCATTGATCAGAACCAGCCAGCATGATGCGGTAGGAACATGACGTTATTGTTTCGGTTCTCTAGTAATTGCTGATCTCGCTCAATAGGTATTCATGGAGTGGGTAAATCAGCATTGCACCTACCAGCCCTAGCTGTGTTAAGTCATACGCCACCAGGTGCAACTGAAACCATAGCCTGGGTTGGCAAGGGCATTGTATATGACACAGGTGGACTCAGCCTTAAAGGGAAGGTATGTCACAAATCTGTGGGAAGTGTCGCGTTTTCTGGGATTAGCAATGAAAAGTTGGGGTATGGATTGTGTTTCTAGTCTGTCAGTAGGTCAGAGTTTTTCCGAAGCTGAGCATTGGACTCTACTGACTAGTGCTGCCTGTGAAAACCACCAAACGGTGAAAACCAGCACAAAATTTTTGTTGTAAATAATAATGCTCATGACTGTCTTCCTCTCGCACGCAGACGGCCATGCCAGGAATGAAGAGAGACTGTGGAGGTGCAGCAGCAATCCTCGGAGCTTTCTATGCAGCAGTTAAGCAGGTACTCTCGGCGTCGATCCGAACCTGTCACGTTGGCTGCCGTTTCATAACTATGCGGTTACAGCAAAACTAAAAAGGCATTGGTGTTATCCACATTAGCTGTGTTGCACACTTTTTCCGTCCGCCGTTATCGGTGCTAACCGAAAACAGTTAAAGTTACGTCTGTATGTTTGTGTGGGGGAGTGATTGTAAGGTTTTGACGTTATATAATAATAAATATTAGGAAACTTACCTTTGGTCACATGTCATGTTTGCAGGGATTCAGAGAGAACTTGCATGCAGTGTTCTGTATAGCAGAGAATTCGATAGGGCCACTTGCAACTAGACCCGATGACATTCACACTCTTTATTCTGGCAGGTAAGCATATAGGAGCCAACAAGCAGACGGATTGTCTCTTATCAGACACTTGGGCTGTTTTATAGAGAATATAAAATCGAGAAGATTGACGAACGATGGAAAATTATACTAATCTCATCTGTTCTTTGGAAATATTATATGTAGGCCTACATGTTATGACTTGTATTTATGTATTAATGATATATGCTGACGGTGATGTTTCAGAACGGTTGAAATAAACAATACAGATGCTGAAGGAAGACTCGTTCTAGCTGATGGGGTGAGTTCTTCTGAAGCAGAATTTTCAATTTTGTTACAATAAAGGTTCTACTACTAAACGTTAACATTTGATATATAATGGATATATATGTGGAGTATCACTATCTGTTCTTTAAAAGAATTAATGCGTGCAATATGAGTAATGTGACCTTAATCATTTTGAAAGGTTGCCCAACTGTTTTTATTTTATTTAACAACCACCAGGTGGCATTTGCTCAGAAAGATCTTGGCTGCAATATCATCCTGGACATGGCCACACTTACAGGAGCTCAGGGCATAGCCACAGGAAAGTACCACGCAGCCATCCTAACTAACAACGAGGACTGGGAGGTGGGTACTTGTGTCAAACCATATCTGTGTTCACGTTCTGCTCAAAGTTTTTACTTCGCGAGGTACACATGTCAGCATTTTCTGTTATGCGTATTTTGTTGTAAATATCAACATTGGAATGCACTTGCTACGAAGGTTATCACTGCCTACAGCAGGTTATTGATTTCGCGTGTTTTGTTACTAACACGAGCGGTGGCGCAATTTGTATAAAGTAAAACATCTAATGCTTCAGGTCGCATCAGGGCGAGCAGGCATCAACAGTGGAGACCTGGTTCACCCGCTGCCCTACTGCCCAGAACTGCACTTTCCAGAGTTTGCCAGCGCAGTGGCCGATATGAAGAACTCTGTTGCTGTGAGTGCAGAGCTATCATAGTATATGCAAACACGGTTAACCAGTTTAGAAGTTAAGTCTGTTTAATTCAGATGTTGTCTTTGGTGGTGTGTGCTTCGGTAACTGTGATGTCCATTTTTTTATTATAATCACATTTGTTTTAAGCAAGAATTAAACAAATGACCAACTGCAGTGCTAATAATTGTTGAGTATGCAAGAGATTTACCGCTGGTGCGCTGTGAACGAGTTACGCTTGTGGTCTTGCAGGACCGCAGCAATGCTCAGCCTTCCTGCGCCGGTCTGTTTGTTGCCGCACATCTCGGCTTCGACTACCCAGGAGTGTGGATCCATGTGGACATGGCTGGACCAGTGCACTGCGTGAGTATTATTGTCGAACGCGTTGAAAACATGTCTTAGCTTGTACCTCGACGACATCTAGTGATAGGCACATCAAATCGACACACATTAGTGCAGTTTGTCTGCGTTAGGTAGAGGCGGATACACACAGAAATTGTGGGAAGTGCTATTTTCGCGTGCAGTTTCACTCCTGGATGCAAATCCAAAGATGGTAGACGACATAATCTTGGCTCAAGTTAGTGCGAGTCTGCTTGTTTGCGATGTTCCCGTAGTGTGAACAAATTGTTCGCAAATTACATGACCGATTACGTCATGTACCCCATACATTGCGGTGAACCACGCACAAATGCATGTAAAAACCGTTGTATAGACAGACGCATGAAACATCTGCCTAAAATGTGTCGGTGTGATGAAAACATGATGCTGTGTATAATAGAGAATATCTAACTTCGTCGTCATGAACAACTCGGAGAATCAAGTGCAGATGGCTTCCATCACCACAGACAATATATACATATATATACCCATATTATATTCTATATATCTCGGCTCAATTCTTTGTGATGAATGCATGTTATTTTAATTAGTCAGTTACCCGTGTTAATACTGATCAGCCTACCACCAGTCTGGACACTACAACTGTGATGGTGTGGCGTTTGCTTGCAGGGAGAGAGAGCTACTGGTTATGGAGTGGCCCTACTGCTTGCTCTCTTTGGTCGCGCCTCCCACTCGACCATCTTGCAAGCAGTATCTCCTCTGGGTACACCCATAGACGACAACCCTCAGGGCGCGAGTAAGAAGATTAGACTCGTATAAGAGAGAGACCAGCAGCCTAGCACGTTATTCATGATTTTGCGGAAATGCAATTATATTTACGATTAGGAGGGGTATATTGAGCCTTTAGTGGTCTAACAAGGCAGCTGTATTGGTTTATTTCGAAATTGGTATTGTTGTCTACGATATTGAAGTTGCACGCAAGGTTTCTTTATATTGTAAGGGAAAACCATTTACATAAGAAATACAGCAAATTTGAATATCATGTTCGTATTAGTAAAGATCGGTCAGTTCAATTATGATTTCTAGTAACATATACCAGTGGGTACGTTTATGAAAAATTCCAGTGAGTAAAAAATTATTACTTTTACATACCGGTGAGAAACGAGAGATATGCTAAATGCTTTTTTATAATAGGTAGTAATAAAGCTTTCAATTGTATGTTACAAACCATATAAGCTGTAATTGTGACGTTGTCCGAGTGAAATAATTGTATCAAAAATAAGGGAAAAATATAATATACGTTTGCTGATTGCAGTTGCGAATTGCTGTTTTGCACTATATGTCCGTCATGTATTATTAGTCGTGTACAACTAAGTCCTTTTGCTACGTGAAACTGAACTAAACAGTTATGTAGTTTGCATCGTTTATTATCCATCGTGACAGAGCCAGGGAATACAGATGTGCAATAATTGTTTATCAGACTTCCTACACCTTTGGCAAAACTTGAACACTGAAATACTACCCACACAATGAATATTTACAAGTAACGTCAGGAGTAAGATAATATAGGACTATATAATATAGGATAGGATATAGGACTATATAATATAGGACCTATATTATCTTACTCCTGGTAACGTGATATCACAACCAGATATGTTCCTTTGTTAACGATCGCTGTTGCAGCAATAATTAATTTACAAACCGATGGTATTATTTTCCATAACTTCTCAACATTCTTGAGTATACTTTTACACTATATACATAAATGCAGAGGCATTTTTGATAAGAATTGCCATTTGACTTTCATTACACATCCCTTGTGTGTGTCACATATGCAATGCTATCATGTTAATTTGTTCTTTTAGAGGCGTTTGTGGTTGACACGGCAGAATTTTTAAGTTGCTCTGCTCTGCATCTTCAAGGTTTTTCCATCCCTGACGTCACATACTGCATTGCGAGCGCACGCAGAAAATCTCCTTTGCGCTTCTGTGCTGCCATCTGTAGGACTACAGGGTCGTTGTTAGCATTTAATTCCAACTGGCCCAGTGCCTTTATCTGTGATAACAAAGCGAAAAACACAATACATGACAAATTCAACCACAAGATCAATCTGAACCGGATTCGTTACTATGTTATTCCCATTGAATAAGTTAAAACAGCCCAAATGAAATTCTGCATTGAGTGTATAGTAAATATTTTACGTAGATAACTTACAGCCTGATTTTTTCTGTCAATCTCAAAGCGCTTTACGTGAAGGTCTACACAATTTGTTAAGGACAATATTTGAGATAAGAACTAATCAGAAATGCTCAAAGTATCAAATAATGTCAAATGTATATTTCGCGGTGGTTTAATTTTCGCGAATCTTGCGAATGCGTCCCCGAGCGTGAAAATAACAACACGCGAATAATTCATAATTCACGGACCGCGAAATTAACCACTCGCGAAATTGTCCGTCAAGTCTGAATTCACGAAAATATCTGTACGCGAAAAATATGGCTTATACAGTAATAGTTATCATTAGTCACTGCAAAAATTCATTTCATGGTATAAAATTAATAGCTTCTAAAAAGGCAGAACAACAATGAAGAAATAAACACAATTAGAGATGATCTATTTACGTTTAGCAACTGCTGCCAAGAGTTGAGGAAACTAGCTGGGTGTTTGTAATAATTTCATCTGTGAGAACAAAATTACCTTAGACGTCCTCTCGAGCTAGTGTTCAATTACCTACTAACACTGAAGTGAATGGCTATGGCTCCTAAACCTCAAATGGCTAGTAATAGACACGAGTGACATTTCTCCATCAAACGTGCCTCAGTAATTGATATTAAATCCTGGAATGAATCCTAGGGTTGATAATAAACCCTAATCCATAACGGAATGGTTATGGGCCTTTCATAACTATGGTTTTAACACACATAGTGCAAGTCCTCATGCATGTGTACATTTACAGCATTCTGAACATTTGCAAAAAAGATACTGATGAGAAACTCAAGAATCGTGGGGTCCCATATGTAGGCGTAGTACGCATCGACCGCGTCGTAGCTGTTCTTCTCCTGGAGCGCTTTGAACGCCGTCTTGTATTCAATCTCGTCGAGAAACTGGCACAGCAGCGCCTCCTGGGTGTGACATTTCAGATAGGAGCAGCACTTCATCATGCGTCGATATACCTAGGAATACATGGATAAGAGGTTTAACAGTTATATTCTGCAAAAATAATACCTTCAACGATATATGTATATATATATATATATGTGTGTAAGGTGTTGCCTGAGTAACTTATGTTATATGATGACAATTTCAATTAAACAATAAGAACCGTAGAAGGCTTAACACAATATTACACCAATGATAGCTCAAGACCCGCATAATCTGCACCTTGAGCTACAATAATACCTGGTCAGTATATATAGTCTTTGGCACTGGCTTCGTAAAGAAGTTGCTACACACCATTCCTGCTTCTACATAATACTTCAGTGCTGCCCCATAGTGACCATTACCTGAAACATTAAAATATATTGTCTACCATCTCCATCGATATAGGTTGCTAAATTAGGAATTTTACTCACTTAATTATAGGTAGAACAACGTAAAAATATGTAAATATTGATGAGGTGCTTTTACACTTCTTATATTAATGTATTCAGCCCATTTTGTCTTGATGAAGTCTCAGCAAACAAAGTGATGGCAACAGTAAATGTGGCTGTGTCTGATAATTATCAAGCCTTCAGTGTTTTTAGCTCATCTGACGTAGTCAGATGCAGCTTGTAGAATCGCATGATCGTGCGTGCGTCCGGCCGTCCGGCCGTCCGTCCGTGCGTTAACAGTTGGGCACAAATCTTAACCGCTCGACGTACGGTCCCGATATTAGGGACGTCGGGAAGGTATACGAGGAAATACGGAATTGCGGCACAAATCTTAACGGCTCGACCTATGCTCTTAATATTCGGTGTATTGTGTGATGGGCAGGAAACCCCTCACCAGTGCGAAATTGGTGGTCACAGGTCAAAGGGCAGTGGGGGAATGGTCAGATATCAGACATTTTCTGAGGACATGGGCTAACGGACAGAGTGGAAAACTTTTTTGTTTCAGCGCTGACCTACCATTTTTATCACTTTATTCAAAAGACCATGAAATGTGCTTTCCACTGACGTGCGAAAAGTAAGTGTCTGATAACCTTTTGACCCTCAAGAGGAGGGTTAAACATGGATTTCTCAACTGCCTCAATGATGTCACAGTGTTCTCATATTCATGGCAAATCCATAATCAAGAAACCCAATAAGCCTGGATAGCCCAACGGCTACAACACAGGATTACGGCTCAAAGGTCCTTGGATCGAATCCCATCAGATTTTTCATTATTTACCTGTTTTCTGTATTTTTCTATCTTTATCCATTTAACTATTTTTTCCAATTAACGCAAATATTTACATGATTTATTTACAACAATTTCATAACAACAAATAATTTTTACAACAATTAATTTTGTGTGTGTAATAGGATTAGGGTTAGGGTCACAATGCACCATAAAACAGGAGTTTCAGGCACGCGATTTGTATCAACCAATAGGATTTGGGAGGTATGCAGAATGCAGAAGGTTGCTGAAATGATGTGTACGCAACTGCGTATCTGCATATCTGCGCCTAACAAAGGTGTCACTACGCACGACTTAAATGTTACGTTTATAACCGTAGCAACAGACCTTAGATGAGCCCAGACGATCTGCGGCTCTTGTTTGAATACTGTTATAATAGTAGTATTGGCAGTAGATATTTTTAGTAAGAGTAATATTTTTCCCATAATATTGTCCTATCTATCCATCTAGCTATGGATATTTTATATCACACTGACTGACCTTCCATGTGTTTGCACTCTTTCAATATGCCCCTCAGAAAGCAGTGAACAATGAGCTCGTAGGAAAAAAGCTAGAATGCACGTACTGTAACAGACGTCAGCTTTGCTCCTCAGCCAGGGTGTGTGGCTAGGGTGGATTCGCAAGCTGTGAGCGAGAATCTTACCGAGTGCTTCCTCGACCACGTACACGTCGACAGAACAAGGACTGTAACAAAGAACGTGACATCAATGTCAATTCCAGCCACAGAACACGCCGCTGCAGTCCTGCCCCCACAATTTGCATATTACACTTCTCCTGCTTATCTCTCTTATAGCTCATTGCTAACATGACATCAATTAATTTCCCTAGAGCCCTAGATAAACCTAGATAAGCCTAAACCCTAAAGCCCAGTAAAACCACCCGATATGGAGCTGTTCCAGACCTCTTGTTCCTACATTTCACTTTCTTTTTTCCAATTTTATGTTTCGACACATGAATGACAGTTCTATAATGCCGTGGAAAAAACATTTCCTATTCATACCTGACAATAGTCGATGGCCACAGATACATGTAGTCCAAGAAAACTTCTTTTAGCGAGTCATCCTGGAAAATATATAGATTATATTATTATATTTATATTTATAAAATGAAACATTAATTACCACATTAAATTCAATAGAGACTATTTGTGAGATAATATGATTGGTATATATGATGATAAACTTCCATTATCTCAGCACTAATGACACCACACTACATCGATATGCCACCGTGTTCCTGCGCCCCAGAAACACCTAACCATGCAAGCTGTCATAATAAAACTACTTCCACTAATTGTGTGCATGCGTGGCTTCACTATGTAAAAGCTTCATTTCCCTCCTAACTCCTGCACATTGCTTACAACTTCACAATATACTAACAAACACATCACTAACAATTATTCAGAAACTGCGTCATTATAATATATATGTTACCTTCAAGATGTTGTAAATCTTTGTCAAGCATGATATTAAAACAGACAAAACAATGTCCACCTAAAAATGAAAAAAGCTTGTTACTTTCACTGAACAACCTTAATTATGTACATAAGTACACCTTTCAAATTCAAAATTATTTGACAGCATTATAAATCGTGAATACCTCACCTTTATTTTGCATGTAAATTCTATGAACTCGGACCTGCAATAATAAAAGCAACAGGAAATGAATTCATTTTACTCGCAACAACTAAAACAAATTAAATGTCACCATGAAAAAAAAAAAAACTGCACAATATAAACAACATAGTTTGTTGTATGTCAAAACACGAGTACAAATGCAGATATGATATGAACCGAGGAAGATTGTGATACCTTGGCAGGAGCATTTGGAAGCTGTCCCTGTGTATGTTGCTCACCATTCCTGAACTGGTGCGCTTCTGCTGACTGCTCACACTAAACACACCCATCACTGCAATCAAATCGAACAATAACCATCGGGCCTGTAAGCACTCTGAAGAAACGGTAATAACGTGATTTGAGCATTTCACGTAGATGCAAGCTAGCTGTGGATTATGAGAAAATCAAATGGAGGAAATAGTATGTTATTGTGTTGCAATGTGAGTCTGTTCGAAAAAAATTGATATATTGTAACACGGGTGTGTTTTGAAGGAATGCCTCTGGTTAGAACAGAAATCACTATTTATTTAACTATTTAATTATATAGTATATGGTAATGCACAGAACAGCATACGGGTCACTGAAACACAAAACACCAACTATTTTATTCATAGTAGGTGTCATACAAAGTATTTACCGGCATTCCATACATCTCTAGCCAGATTCCGGCTGTTGGTATTTGGAAGATCCTTGCACACATTAGCCATGATGCAGGCAAGCTGTAAAATGCAGATGACAGTACAGTACACAATCTATTATCCGAAATTCTGAAAAACGAAAATCTCTGTGCTTGGCATTATTCATACATATTGTACTGTACCGGTACAGCACTTGGCCTCTTGAAAACTTGGGTTTTAGTATTGGCTAGTTGCAGGATATAGAGTATGTATATCTGTACTGTACTACCATTCCGAAATTTGAAACGTGTCTGGTCCCAAGGGTTTCGGATAATAGATTGTGTACTGTAGAATAAATGACTAATTTTCACATGGGAGCCAGCTGGCTAATATTAGATCGATCGCAGGTTTATCTTCATGCAAGACAGTTGATAGGTCGATTTGTCATGCAGACACTGACTGGCTAATCAGTTGTATAAAATTACCTTCAGACATCCATTGTTTGCATTGGGCAGACTTCGCAAATAGTCCCAGTCCTTTACGTTAAGCAGGAAGGCTGCGCAGTGCTCAATAACCTCAGTCCTAGGCATAGCGTCTGTCGAACAATAAGGTTAGGATAATCAGCTACAACAGACGAAATCCAGCGGGCTCAAATTATCTAAAATTACGCAATGTTTCACATACTGAGAAGCAGATATCAAGATTGATTCAAGATTTATTCTGATATTCATATTTTTTGTCTACGGTTACATCCTTTTAGTTACATACCATCAGTGGTTAATAATGAGAAAATTGTGACTAATTTGTAATTTTAATGACAAAATTTGTCATTATTAACCCCTGATAACATACAATTACACAATGTACAACTACAGTGGATATGTATATATATTTTAGTTGCTAAATTCTCCTCCTATTAATTGCTAGGCAGGAGTGATAGCAGAGCGAACGTACCTTGGCCCTGCATGTAGGCCGTCATGCAGGTTTTCACCTTCTTGCCAAGCTCTCTCGTGGCAGTGGGAATGTCAGCATTATCGAACAGGATTAGATCCACCAGCAATATCTCCCACCTGATGAGCTGCACGAATCTAGATAACAATCAATAATTACTGATACCTAACACATGGTTTGTAAAAACATTAGGGAAAAACATTCTTTCGAGGGATGTAAATGGGTATTTTCCATGACTGTAAGATTTTAAAGGAATACACTCATTGCATCACTTGCCGCCCAATCAACGATTAGTGAACAAACTCTTGCATGAAGCAAATTTAATGGCTTCTCAGACAGCGCTGACATCTGCTCAATTTCAGGGAGTATCTTGAACCAAAACTAATGATGGATTTATTTCAGGACATTCCAACCCTGAAAAATCACACGTTAAAATTCGAAGACTTTCTACGTTTTCGAGGACCCATACACACCCTGTGATACACTTTATCCATATAATTCTACTCATACACACTGTTCATATCGGAACTATCAAGCCGTAATGTTGTCATTAGTGGAGTTGTAACTGACACAGGTGAGGACATGCAATCCTGTCTGATCAGCAACAGTGGGTGGTACTTACATGAACGAGACATCACCCGACTCTGCTTCTGCAGCAGATAGCAACCGCTTGGCTTCATAATAGCTCTGAAAATTAAACGAATGATGCGCTATCATAGAACCCATATGCTTTCATCGCATGCGCTATCATAGAATCAAGTTCATGCTAAGCATAGAATCAAATATATGGCAAGCCCACAAACAATTTTAACAATCCACCATGGGAATTGATAGTAATCTTATATGCAAGCTTATGCACATTTTAATATTGTTTTAATATTAAAATAATGTTTTTAAATGTTTATTACAAACATGATTTGTCATTATCTACCCCTGATAATATCCACTCTACTATGCTACCTACTTTTCCTGCCACAGCAAGCTTAGCCTTGGCCAGCAGGATGAAAGTGAGATCCTTGCACATGCCCGAGAACATGGCGTCAAGACCTTGCTGTAGCATTCCTCCTACCTCCCACTGAAATCCCAAGATTACAATCTCAGTCTTAGTTTGCCCCCCCCCCATGTGCTCAAGCTGTGGATCTACAGTCTGCTCTCGTTATTAAATTCTCCAATAACAATTATTCTACATTAATTTAATCGTCTATATTTAATTCAATGCTATCTGTAGGACTAACTGCTAGATTCTTCCGAAACTATCAAGATCATAAACCATAAATGTATCAATATCATCAACATGCTCAAGCCATAGATCTACTGTCTACTCCATTAAATTCTCCACAAACAGTTAATTTAATCGCATATTTTTTATTTCAATGCTATCTGTGGGAGTAACTGCTCGATTCTTTAGAAACTATCAAAATGTCAAAATGAAAGGCCGAGCAGCAATGTCGGTGCGAGGCAAGCATACCTTGCAGTTGATAGAAGCTAGGGACCTTCCTGGCCGCACCTGCACCAGCTTGTTCACGCAGTCGAGGATCTCAAACTGATCGAGACTGACAAGCAGTCTCCTCTCCAGCTCGCCGATCTCCAGCACAGAATTCTCTGCGCAAAGCAACAGTTTGGATGAGTACGGCGCGTTGCCATGGCAACGTGAATCCTGTCCAAACGGTCACGGCTACCGACACATATGCGAACCCAAGTATATTTTTTTACGGCAACGATACCCGGCAACGAACTTCACGACGAAACTGTTTCAAAGTCACCGCCACGCCTGTTTGCAGATATTCTACTTTACATTGTTTTAGTTATTACTGCAAATCAACAATCCTTCAAGGGCAGCCTCAGTTGACTTCCTACCGATTGTGACCTTTGCTGATGGTGTCTTGTCAGTTAGTGGCCCGTCATGTGCCAAGAGACTCTCCAGTTCCGATTGTGACAGCAACTTTTTGGTAATCTCTGCGCTAAGAATCCGCTGGTAAGCTTTCGATGTACGATTCAGAAACGTTAATATGTATCTATGAAATAATGGAAAGAAAATAAGTCAACTTCACTTCTTTTTTTCCCTATTAATATTTCTGAGAGAAATATACGTCTCTCTCTCGCTCTCTCTTAGAGACACCACATCAACATACATTAACAAACAACTAAACTTGTAGCACCATATTATGTATAGATAACTGCTCTTCAAAACCCTTATATATACAATAT